AGAATGAGAAGTCCACAGGAGACGGATTTTTTTGCATCATAACACAGCCAGTTTATAGTGGGCTTCCACAAAAAAAACAAAAGCATATTACACTCTATGAAGAAGCTTTAAGCTTTCCAGTATGGTGATGTTCCCTTTCCTTGCAGTCACAATTCTTTAATAGCTACTTTAATGGCTTAAAACAAGGCTGTTGAGGGACATCCTATGCCTCACACTGTACTTCCTGTAAGGTATACGTCTTTAAGTAACTGTGGCTGTATTTCATACCTGTAAAGGTAATTTGATTTGTGTATGAGGGAAAAAAACCCAACTAGATAGTGACTTTTATTCTGGTATCTCTGGCACTGACCATTTATCTGTCTGAAGTCAAATCAACAGCATAATGCATATACTGAAAAATAATTTGCATGATTGCATCTTGTTAAGCTAAGCAAACCACCTGTTCAAATAAGTACGTCCTATTATAAACCAGATGTTTGTTCTGCCAAAAGCACACGGAGGATGCACAAGGTAACAAAGCACAGTTGTCCAACCTTTAGTCTTTGTCAAAACATGCAAACTGTAAATACCCTGCACAAATATACACATCATAATATTTCTAAAAATGGCACTGTTTCACAATATCACTGTTAAATGTGACCTTGATTAGTTTTCACCCGTTTCAGTCATTGGTGTTATTCTAGAAGTGCACCAAGCAAACAGAAACCAGAGAATAGCTTGCAACAAAGCGACTGGGCTCTATCTCCACACACAGCTTGCATCCTCAGTGTCTGCACTGTGTCCACACACTGCCTTTTAGAAGGCCATTTTTAAATGCACATCAAACTAAAAATGCCACCTTCTGTTAAGGAAAGGTTAGAAATCAAACTGGAACAGTGCAGCTACAGAGAAGCAAGACACATTGCAGTCATGAGAAAGTGTTTCTTCTCCGCCCAAGTATGTGATAATATTAAGGGCCAACGCTGACAATATCTCTTCATGAACTTAAACATCAGGTTAATCTAAAAAATTGAGTAGTGCTCATAGTAAGAGCATGCCCTCATTATCTGTATTCCTACAGGCAGCCATTACACCTACTCATTCTATTTTCATTTTCCTTACATAGCAAAGTTGGCAAGGAAAATGCCTCAAGCTTTCCCCCTGGAAAACTTTTGAATTTGGCCTGTGCTTATAAGACTGTTGAACACTTCTCAGAGTCCCACCATCTTCTAATGCATCACTGTGGTACAGGGAAGTAATTCTATCTCTTTCTCTAGAGTAAAAAGACCATTGTACCAGTGGAAATTAAGTGTATTTATAAAAGTATATACAAACTATTCCAGACACAGTGTGAAACCCATCCAGCTCTGAGGAGTCATTAATAATTAAACTGCAAAAGTATGCTAAATGCAGGCCATTGGTGTGCTTTATAATCAGATTGTAGTTGCATAGTGTGCCCTTTTTAGCACAAATGAAATGGTATTTTAAGGCTTCTGAGACCTTGAAGTCAAAATACAAATTCTGATGGGCTATAAGGAAATGCAAATAAGCCACTAGTTACCCTGTTTTTAGTTTTTTTTTATTATTTAATAAAACTAAAGTAATGCATGAAATCCTAAGTCAATAGCCACCCAATACTGGAAAACATCAAGTTTTCAAACTGCCAATGACCCAATGAGACAGACTGGTTAAATTTGTTGGGGTTTAATTTTTTTTGAGGATTGCTTTCTTGTGTTTTTTTAGGTTTAGTTTACTTTCTTCTTTTTGGTTTGGTTTCCCCCCAACACATTTCTTTTGCTATTCCATAATTAAAAAGTTGAAATGACTAATGCAACACACCTACTTAATCAAGTCCTGGACTTCTAAGAACATTGACAAAGCATCATGTTCACCAAAACTTACTAAATTTTCCAAAACCAGGAAGGAATTTTTGAGATGGGGAATCAACTGGATGTCAAATGAGAGCTTTCTTCCTAGCAGTTAAACTTTCCTGAGGTTCTGACTGTCTAAGTACTACCTCTTTCATCATGACAAACTCTTTGCATTGTCACCAAATTTTATAGGCCATCACCTAAATTCCTCTTAACTGAACAAAATGTTTATTAATATATTTTAGAGATACAGATCAAAACATCACAACTAACAAGGCTATTTGAGGACGAGTATTTAAGTATCTAGGAGTATTATTTTTCCATGTGTAGTGTCAGTATGGGACAACCACCTAACTTGGATGCCAAGTCTCTGACTGCTGCTGCTTTCTTTTATTAGCCTGAGGCATCTAATTATAGAATCCAACAACAATACACATACCACACTGCCCACCTGCATTAACAATACAGGGGACTCATTATTGCTTCAGAAGGGCAATTCCAGTGTTGGCCTCATAAAAAAATCAGAAGAGAGGACAGTACAAAATAGCTTGTCTCCAAGTTATAGTCCCAAAGAATGAACCCAGGAGAGCTTTATTCTCTTATCCTTACAGTAAATTACTTTTCTTGACTCAGAGCTTTAAGATTTTATTGCTTTTTAAGTTAGTGATGAAAGATTTAATCATAGATTTGTTAGATTTAGCCCCTCAACACAGGCTTTTCCAGAATCTTCAGAACTCCAGCAGGAGTCACAGTAGAAGTTTCCAACTACAAATAGTACTGGAAAAATGTTGGATTTACCATGGATTTCCTCCCAGTAATAATTCACAGCTTGAATTTAGCAATAAAAAAAATCTATCATCGTGTCCCCAGCGCCATCTGGGAGATCAGGCTTTTGGCAAAGAAAAATGGAGCAGCAATTGCCTGGCAGCACAGGAAATCAATGACTTCCCCACTCAGGGCTGAGCAACAGGCTGCTCCTGCTGAGCAGAGTCATTCATTTCCCTTCCTGCCAGCAAAGCTGCTCTGTACATGGAGAAAGCAAAGTCTCTGTTACACCTGCAGGACACACACCCCTTCCTCTAAACCCTGACATTTCCAGGGGGCTTAGACAGTGAGCTACACAATTCCATGTGTATATCCAAAAGGGGAAAGAGTGTGGAGATGGTGGTGTATTGGGAGAGCTTCTGGACACAAGGGTTTCAGGCTACAAGGTAGGCAACAAAAACACCACTGAGTTAAGCTCAAGTCAAAGCTCATGAGTTGACAAAGGATTCAACTGAACTATGCCAACATAAGGGCCAAGAAATCTGGTCACCCCTTTTGCCCCAGTAGTAGGATAATACTAGGTAATTTCAGGAATTAGAGTTCCAAAACAGGTGTAAAGGGGTTTCTTTTGGTTTGTTCTAAGCACAATCATTACAGGGGAGTTTTAAATACAAAAAGATAAAAGCAGAATACATTATCCAGGAGACCACATGGGCATCCTTCCAGGCTGCACTTCCTCAGAGCTAAACCACAAGTTTATTTACATATAAAATACAAAGCATATTGCATTTTCTTTTTACTGAGAGGGTTTGCAGGAACTGGAATAACCAGTCAAGATCTGTCAATGTCATGCAGAGACCACCACTGACCTCTGTAGCTTTAAAATGTCAACTCCTTCCTCAAATTTACTAGTCTTAGTGCTCCCTGGAGCATGAGACAAGAACAGGAGTTGAGAGTTTCCCCCAACACACACTTCAACTTTGCTGCAGACAAAAAGAATTTCACATCCACATTTTCCTCCGGGTCAAAGTTCCCAATAAAGTCACAGTAAGGAGATCATTACAGGCATGTACACAGTCACCAATAACTATGTCAGAGGTTACTGATACAAAACAGCAGATAGAAGGCACTTCTGGTCAAGCCAAACTTGGCCCTGATTTGAACCAGTGCTCTGAATAAGCAGCTTGTCCTTTGAATGGCCCCCTCTGAGATCAGAGAGTACTGCTGTAGCTGCTTCTGGAGCTATGCCTGCACAGCACCCCCAGTAACTGCAGATGTGTTAGGACATCACCAGATCTTGCTGAGCATTGATTCACCTGTATCAGGCAGATTTGGCAGCATCTCACAACAGCAACACTGTTTGCTGCTTATCTGTGCATCACTGAACCTAGAATCTGTAAAAACGCAGCTATATTACGGCAGAAATATCATGGTCTCTAGCAGCTTCTAGCTTCTCAGGGAGACTTCTTCAGTTTAATAAGTTACATCTGTAAATGCAAATATCTGCCTTATTTCTCTAGAGTCACCATTGCTCTAAATCAATTCAGGTCACGCTGAAATTAGCCTTGCCCTTCAGCAGGTTAAGAGCTTCTCCCATTTTGCTATAATTAATACATGTCCATAGAAAAATTACAAATAAAGTGAAAGACAAAAAAGAAGTAGGATTATTCTGTAATATTTTTTTCGTGTCCCTCTATCCCCAAGCTCAACAAGAAGCCTCTCAAAAATCTCACTCTGCTGCAATTTAATAAGTCAGCAAAAAAAGAGACGCTGCTTGAAGGTATTTCACAGAAGAAATAATATGAAACCCACAAGAGACTCCTCAATAAATGTGAGCCCCACACATAATCCTACCTTTATTCCTGCAATAAGGAAAAAAGCTCATTCATTTTCTAAGCTTGCACCTTCTTCATTGTCCATTTTAGGTGCAATAAGATTCATCATTTAGTCACTCTGGAGAGCAGTAGGTCTGCATTTATCATGGTGAAACGCATCCTCACTGTTTGTTCTTAGAGTTTACGGAAAGCCAAGCACAATGACTCATAAAACTGCTGCAAGAAAAAGCTGAAACAAGTTAACAGAATGAGCTTAAGTGACATCCTTCATCCTACATTTCCGGCACGCAGAGCCAAAACCACATCACACTTTCAGCAGAACAGATTTAGAGCTATTATTTATCATAAACAGCAAGACCTTCACCAAGGCCAAGTAATGTTTCATGGTGTTCCTGAGCTGCTCACAGATCTTCAGTGCACTATAAGCAGTAGAAGGTCTGGCTGTACATTCTAGAGCAAATGGGACTCTTTTCTGCTAATGTACTATTCTTTTCCATCTGGAAAATTATATTTTCTTCATGCTGAGAATGGTCATCGTGAAAATTCTTACCTGTTTTCCATCTAGTGTGTACAAGCGTTTAACCACCCCTGAATCCAGCTTGATGGCATCGGTTATATCAGTAAGAACCTGTTCAAAGGAATGTGCTGTCTTCTTGTTGAGCAGGATCCGGACTGCCTTCCGTGGCTTCACTCCACTCCTGATGATAGTGACCAGTTTAGGCCTAATGAAATCCTTATTCTCTTTTGTATCTGGAGCACCTCCTTTAGCAGTGGCAAGAGATGGCACTGAACGAGAAGTAGAAGTTGTCTTAACATTCACTGACCAGTTTGGGTTTACATTCTTTGTGTACTCCAGTTTCTTGAAGGGTTCTATGGAACCACATACGTAACTTTCCCCTGTGGAAACATAAGCAAAAGTCCAGCAAGTCAGATTGGAGAAAGAAGAAGAAAAAAAAATGCAGAAAAATACAAAATCAAATCATTCTCAAGTTATTAAATATTATTCTTAACATTCTTTGTCTACAGTGCATAAATATTGATCTCTTTCCCTTCTCAGATGCTACTGACTACAAAATGAGTGATCTTTTAAAGATCACTCTTCAGCTAACTGTCCAAGAAATGCTGTTACAAAAATCCTTGAAAGCAGCAGTTTTCTTATCAGAAAACACTATTTGCAGTGGGGACCACTGCTGTCAGTAAACACAGTAAACAATGTTTGTATTTCACCAGCAGCCCAGGCCCAGCACATTATCACAGTACTCCTCCAGCCTTCATGCTTAACTGGTCCACTCCTAAGAAAACATCAGGCCCCAAATATTTCAGAGGAAATACTACGAAACATTACCAAAAAATATAGGCTACAAATAATATTTTATAGGAAGGTGGATGAAAGTGTCATGGAAATTTGTTAACATTTGATTATTTTTTTTTTCATCTTTAGGCATCACAAACCCAGGATATGTATAGACAAGAAACCTCCCTGTATTATTTACTGACTAAATATATATGTGGGAAAATGAAGACAAAGAGTAGCAATTAAAGGCTTCTCATCACAACAAATTTGCCATACTTAAAAGAAAAATAGTGGCTATTAGTTCCTCTTCCTGTTGGAGCATTATCTACAGTAAAATATTTTTGCAAATACCACACCCACACAACTTCTGGGGAACTAGAAATCAGCCAGAAAACCCAGCACTATGTAGATTAGCACCAGAATCCAGTAGTCCAGCTGAAGGCTGCTGTGCAAGGGGCAGCTGCTTGGGTGCTCCCAAACTCTCCCTTGAGCTTGACTCTGTGACTGTGCTGGCAGTAGCAATGGATGAGTTGGATCAGCTCAGTGATCTGATTGAACATACCAAAGACACTACTAATTTTGCAACATCAAGCTGATCCAGTTCATCCTCTGTCTGAGGAAAAACAAACAAACAAGCCAAACAAAAACCAAAAAACTCAGAGACCAATACTAGATCCAGCAAGACCACACATTCTGGCAACCTACAGTTAAATCACAAATAATGCAAGCTCCTATCCTGAACAATACCACAGAGACATCTGAGATGTTTTAGTTCTTCTGGGTTCAATAGCACAGAGGCCTTCATGTCAGAAATTTAACCCAGCGTTACAAAACCAGAAAAAAACTCAGTGATGCACCTCCTATGCCAAGAAAACAGGTAAGAAACAAAAATATGCCTAATGACCCCTACCTCTAAGGAAAGAGGACTCACAGTTCAATCATTAAAAGAAAAGTAAGTATTACAAATTTATTTCTGAACAGAAATTTTTGAGTTTCGAGGCACCCAACCCAATTCTAGAGTTATTACAGCACACAAGGAATGCAGGCAAGACACACAGTCACCACATTTAAAAATGGAGGCAGGAACACTGGGACATGAGGCTTGGATAAAGGAAGGATCTTCCTTTTAGCCACTGCATAGATAGACAGATATGTATATGGCAACATCAGACTAGAAGGGCTCAGCTACAGTAATGATTGGTCAAACAGTGCAGATTCTCTTTTATCCATGTCCCTGTCCAATTGTTCTAGTATTAGCTACTCAGTTATAGTGCCAGGTCAGAATGCACCCACCAAATCACATCCACAAAATTAGCAAGTTTTAAGGGAAAAAAATAAATCCTACTATAAGTAAGACTGCTCTCAATACAATAAATACCTGCTCTATAAAATAATTTGCAGAAGTTTCTTCAAAATTTTTAAGCAAAATTTATTCTTGTCTACACTTGTGTTTGCTGTAAGCAGTAAAATCCACCAGCAACCTCCTATTTTATTTTTTTGCAGGGGGGATATAAATCTGGATTTTCAGGTTCAGCCCTATTAGGGAAATTGCTCACTTCAGTTGCAGAAAATAACATTTATTTAAAATCAAGTCTTCAAATTAAAACTCACTTCTCAAAGGGTAGGCTCATAAATAAATGTCGATACACAGTGTACTCAGAAGATTTACATTTAATTTATTAAGATCTCCTTTGGTTCCCCTTCTTGAAAGGACAGCGTTCCACATGATTTTTAATATCCGCTACATTTAAAGGTCAGATGGATTCCTTGTAGCATTTAACTGCACATCAGCTCTTCATTACAAAACTAAATTTATATGAATGATCATTTAAAAAGGACCAATAGAATCACTGAAGGTTTGGGACTGTTTGAACATAAGCACTTTTGCCCTCTCCTCATTTCCAATGGTACCATATCACTAAAATATTTACACCAAGATAATTTTTTTCCCTTCAAGAGGCTCATATTTTTCTACAGAACACCTTGGAGGTAGAGCATCCAAGGCCTTCTAAGATAAAATATCTTTAGTAAGAACTATTTTATATAGAAATACAGAGTTAGATGTTAGTTAGGGACTGAAATTTTCATGCATCCTGGTCCTAAGGGTGAGGCCTGTAAGAATAAAAATCTTTAGTACCTCTGGTGTTTGTACGCAGAGGAATCTCAAAAGGACAAAAGGTCTTCACCTAGATTTTCATTCCCTTTTTTTCACCAGTACCTCCAGGAGAGAAGACTGTAAAAAGATTTCACAAGGGGCATGACTTAAAAGTCCAGTAAATCCATCTCCCTGCTTTAGCTATTGCTTCTTCATCATCGGCTTTGAGTAACTGGTAGCTGGAAGAAGAAAGTAACAACCTCCAGACACTATATTCCTAACAGAACAAGTGTTGAGAAGGATTCTTTGAAGAAACTGGATTAAGCAAAGGGCATAGACAACAATGCCTATTTAACGGTGACAATTTGATTGCAGCTCCCCAGGAGAGGAGAGCAAGGGTTTCACAGCGCAGTCATCTGTCACTAATGGAATTTTGACTCTTGATTACAGTATCAATAGCCATTAGGAAAAGAAAAGGGGAACACCCAGTTGCTTTGGGAGATCTGGCATCTAGGAAAAAAAGTGATTACTACACCTTAGAAAGTATCTCTTTCCTGAGAGCCTCTTCACAGCAACAGTGCAAATGAAACACATACTACTGGAACCTTGCAAAAAAGATGCACAGCACTTGCTGGTCAAACTTGTTGATCAGTAACCCTACAATTGTTTGTATAACTGCTCAACACTTCTGGGAAATGCCATGTGTAACAATAAAATAAATCTTAACATTGAGAAATTATTCATAAAGCTAATCATGTAGAAGGGTGGATCCCAAAACATCATTTATGCTTAAAAAAAAACCCCAAAAGAAACAAAATTAAAAAAAAAAAAAAAAAACAAAAAAAAAAAAAAAAAAACCAAACAAAAAAAACTACTACCTGCAGTTGCACATCTGTCAAAATTCAGTGCAACTGACCTATCAGAGACATGCAACACTGGAGGATAGTTCTTATGGGTCATGACAGAATTTCAAGGCTTGCTTCACTTACTAAATATTTGTAGAAATAATATCTGTGTGTACAAAGTGGTTGCTAAGGAGACATTGAATCACTGCATGTAAGTACTGGAGCTTTCCTGATGCAAGTGTCTCCCTGCTTTCCACATTGGTATTAGCAGTTTGTTTACTTCAGCTTACTGATATTCTCTCTATAAGAATGACCAAAGCATCATCTCTTAAAAGCCATTTTTTGTGTTGCTTTTCTGTGCTTAAAGTGACTGAGCCTAAAACGGGTTCATGAGGAAGCCAGTTATCTTAGGTGGAAATCGAGGAGAAGGAAGAGAGAACCAGTTTGAATCTCACAAACAGAGGGAACACAACCCCTCTTTGTAGAGGTCAGGATTTGCCAATTTATGGAAAATAGTGTTGATTTCCTGGAGTACAGTATGCAGTAGGAATGTAAAGTCAATTTATTAATTAGCAGTGATTTACTGGGGTCCATTTCCCCAACAGATAGGACAAGAGATATGTTAAGAGGATGGGGAAGGGCTTAGCACACCCAGCACTCCATGCCTAAGCATACATGCCTTTATTCACTTCTACCCTTTGGTTTTATACGTACAAAAGGCAGAATATCAATCCCTCAGGAGAAAGGACAAAAAATTCTGACTGCCCCTCACTACTCAGAGCAGATTGCAAAAGGAAGATGACCTGAATGAAATAAATTACTGATACTTGATAGTTCCCAAATGTGTTAGTTAATAGAACAATAACCTACTTTAACTGCACTGCTGCTGCCTTGTCTTCCTGCAGGGTCTGAAAAAAATGCAACAGTGCAAAAGAGATGGAGCATCTAGAGGAAATAAATCTGACCTACACATGTTCACCCAGCAATCAGATGCACCAGAAACTTCAAATCAGATCTCCTCTGACCTTGGAAAGGACTTCTTTCACAAACTTACTTTCTTCTCAGTTCAGACTAAAAAGTTGGGGTTATTTCCCCTCATCAAAAATACTTCTTCTGTCCCCTCAAATTTCTGCAATCTTGTTACAAGTAAGATAGACACTGTACACACTTAAAAAAAAGCCTACCAAAAAATAAAGCAAAGCACCTAGAATAAGATATCACATGGACTTCCAAGAAGCTGTTAAGCAAGACAGAAGATGATCTACAGGCTAACGGGTGAAGAAATAATCAAATAAACAGTGCCAGAACAACCCTCTACTATTTTATGCAACAGGATCATTCAGCTGTTTGTTTATTAAACAATATAAGGATTGCAGCCATTTCTGCCACAGGATTCAGTCCAAGTTTCCCTAAATTTGATAGCCCTGGATCAAGTCCATGGTAAATATCCAGTGTAAATTTAATCCTACAAACAAATGTCCACATAGATTCAGCTCTACAAACATTTAAACAGATATTTTACTATTATTATTTTGATAGCACATTACACATACATATGAATCTTTCCAGCCCATCGATTCCCAGCTGCTGAGGTAGGCATGATCTCGAAGAAAGAAGCCATTAGCTCTGGAGAGCATCAGAGACCACGTCAATCAATTCCTACAGTCTGACCTGGCTGGGCTCCTCACCAACAACACCCGTGTGGCTGGCAGAGTCAAGAAGGCAGCAGGAGTACTGGGAAGGAGAGGGAGAAGCTGAGATATGAGAAATGAGGTGACAGTAGGAGTATCTAGACCCATATACAAAACAGGTAAGGAACTCTTGCAGCCGATCACTTCAGCAAGGAGACACTGCCTTTTGAACCCTGCACTGGCAGGCAGCTTCTCTGCTGCTCTGAGCACAAACTGCCTGCCTCCATCAAGAGAGCCTTCCCAAGTCCTCATGTGACCCAGCATTTCCTCTGCCCTGCAGCAAGGTTCACATCTCCCAAGAGTTATTAGCTGGCTACAGCTATTACTGGATTTTAAAGCTGGCACATCTGCATCCTTTCAAAAGGTTTCAACAAGGTTTGTGGCTCTAAGGCAATCCCTGAGAGGCATTAATTTTTCTTTTTGAGATTATTCTTTAAAACTGTATTTGCCATTATGCCTACACAAAACATGCAGACACAGACAGAAGTCTTTAGAATCATTTGGCAGTGCACCCAATATTGACATGTGATAAAATTGTTTCCCAGTACGTTCTCAGCCTTGTGGTCTGGGGCTTTCGGCTGGTCTTTTGACTGCCAGCTCTCAGCTGCAGGGTTACCTTTGTGGTAGGTATACGTAGAAATTTAAAACAATCAATTCAGATTCATACCCAAAACTCTGAGGTAATATTATAATAAAATTAATGAGAAAGAGATGCAGTTCTGGCTACAGATTGATACTGTGGTCTTTGTTCCACATAGCAGGACCCCAGGAGTAAAAACTGTAAATATTTGTTTCAGAGTTACCTTGCAATGTTCATTTTTATTTTGGGGGTAAGATCTCTCCACCTTTAAGGTTGATTGCTCTAAGGTTGATACAGTTTTGGAAAAGCAAAGTTCTTTCCTGAAACTTCCTTTACAGCTGAAAAATTTAGCTTTCAAGAGCAACTTCATCTTTATTGTTTCTACATGCTTTGATTGCATGTCATGCCTAGGAAATAAAGTCACGTCACATTCAGAATACATTCTTTAAACGTGAGAGGGTCCAAACAGCAGGGCTGACAAAAAGAAGGAACCTGAATCAATTGCATTATTTCCTTCATGTAGGGTGACAGAAGTTACAGACCATGTGAAACTTTTTACAACAGTACATGCCTCTTGTTATCAAATTCCAACTAATCTCACACACATAAGTCTTAAGAAAAACAAAGAAAATAAAAAAACACAAACAAAAAGATGGGGGGGGGGGGCAAATACAAAAAAAAAAATATCAATCAAACCAAAAACCCACAAAACCACAAAACCCCCACGTCCAGGGATGTCATTACTTTCAAATAAATAGAAAAATGTGTCCATGCATCTCAAAATAATCTACATCACCAGCACACAGCCATGCCAGCTCTGAACTGTATGCAGAATGAAACTAAATATAACTGAAGCAAAACAGCTCTTTTACAATCTTTTTCCTTTGGGACTGTATTTCATGCAGTTCTGTGTATTTAGCTCTGGGATGAAAGACAGTGGCTGCTGTCTCATTTCCCTCATGAGCCTCTCTGTCTTTATGTACCACATGAGAAGGCAAGAGTACAGGAACTTCCTCACTTCCTCAGGCATAAAGGCAAAAACCAATTCTAAAAATCAAGGCTTTATACATTTGCTTTACATTGGAATCACCAAATCAATGTTCCTCCAATCACATAAATTCATAACAGTCTCAATAAATTAATTAGTGAATTCACACAGGAAGGGAATAGTCTCACCATGAAGAAAGCAATACTTCATATTTCAGTAGCTGGAGCACAAATGTTATTTGGCAAGAGGCAAAAATCAAGTGATTTTCCAGCTATTTAAACACAAAGCACAGCTTCAAGCTAATTAATGCTGTACCAGACGAGCCAAACTCTAATAAATTTGTAGAGTAAAGAGTGGAAGAGGCTTATGCAAAAACCATCATTGAGCTAATAATATATGAACCCTTGCTCCACTGTGAAGTTCTGTGAGTGAAACAACCCACCCTGCAGTTTTATACAAATAAACAGAAGCCCCTTTTCACATAGAATAAGGATGTAACTCTCTTCTTCCAGACAAAGACTGACTTCTGTAAATCCCACAGTCCTAATGGGACATGAAAACAAGACTGTCCTCCTTGAACTATACCAGGAAGGGAAGATGTATTCATTGGAAGGGTATGGAATAAAGTCCCACAGGACAAAAAGAAATCCCAAACGCCTTCTTTAAAATAAACCTAGGCCCTTGCACTGTCATTCATTTTGACTGACTGATTAATAGCTGGTATTATTCTTCACTAGGATGCCAAAATAAACCAATCTCACAGGTTGCTGGATTTATTTTTGAATTCAATTCTTTATTTTCAAAACTGGTTCTGACTGGCTGCAAATCAACATTACCATCAATGAAACTTGCTTCTTGTTGAGCATACCAATCAAATAAGCAAATGCACAAAGACTGCTTTTAAACAGACGTTGATTAATATTGGTCTTTCCTCCCAGAAATTGATTTTCTCTGGCAATTAAATACTGTCCTGACAAATATAGTTTTAACTGTGCCCTGAAATTGATAACATTGCTCCTCAGACCAGTTTCCTTTCCATTTCACTGCACCTCTGGCCCTAACCCCCAAACTTGTAACTTAGACAGACAATCCTGCCCCTTCAATTTTCTTTCTGAAGCATCTTCGTGTTGCCCCCTACTTTCCTTTTTACACAAGGAAGATTGTCAAGGATATCAGGTTCTCAATACTTAAAAAGCTTTCCTCTGCTGTGACACAAAAAGGAGACAACCCAATGGTGGCTGAACACCTGCTATGCAAAGCTGCACTCCTCTTTCAGGAGCCACATTTGCCATTACCCTTTTATTCTTCTCTCTCCATATTAGCCTTTTTCTGATCCTCTCATTACATCCTGGTACTGTAAGTTCTCTCACCTGGTGCTAAAAATGAAAATCACATAGAAATTACAATCTCTGTTACAATTCTAAATTGGCTGTCTGTTGGCTATCTATCCATTCTTTACTGGTTTGTCCATGGCAACACTGGGGCCACGGGTAGGATGGAAGCAAAAATGAATGAATTGTTCCACCTTTATTTTCTTGGAACACAATCAAGTACCTGCATTTGAACTTCACGGATAAAAAACACTCTCATTTATAGCCATGTGATAGTCAATGCCTTCATACTCTGTACATTCTGATGTTTTACACTAGAAACCCACTGTAGTCCAGAAGCATTTCATGTTGGAAAAGCTACTTTAGCTATTCTTAATACTTGAGAAAAGTACTATTAATTTTTTAAATTTAATATTCAAATTGATTAATGCTGACAGCTTCTTTTGGCAATAGAACTATCACTGAAGGAATGATAAATTTGTTCTCAATGGGCTTATTAATGATTGGCATGTCTGACATTTGACAGAGACCACGAATTGTCGGCTCTGACTAAACCACTGGTGATGGTTTATACTGCAGGTACATGAGCTTTATTTAACAGACAACTAAGATCTCTACAGCTTCCTGAAAGGAGGTTGTAGCAAGGTGGGTGTTTTCTCTCCTCATAAATAACAAGCAATAAGACAAGAGGAAAGGCCTCAAGTAGAGCCAGAGCAGGATTAGATTGGGTATGAGGAAAAATTTCTTCATGGAAAGGGCTGTCAAGCACTGGAACAGGCCATCCCTGCAGGCTTCTAAGACATGCAGATGTGACACTTAGGGACATAATTTAGTGGTGGCCTTAGCAGTTCTGGGTTAATGGTTGGACTCAATTATGTAAGAGGTCATTTTCAACCTTACCAATTCTATGACTGGGGAAAAGGGACATGCTACAGAGGAAAAAAGTTTACAATCTACCCCAGCTGAATCAAGGCTACAATATTACTCTTTTAACAGGTGGCCAACTTTATGCCATGCAATGAGACGCTAGTATTTTACTTAAGACATATTTACCTGTAGAGAAGAGGTAGAGCTCTTCACTAGGCTCCAGAGACTTAAAAAACCAAAAACATCTGAACTGAATTTCACATAAGTTTCATTAGCACCACAGAACTTTTGAAGTTTAACAGACTAAACTCTCACTGGTTTGACCTTGCATCTTTATGAAAAGAAAGATTAGATGCAATCTTCAGGATACAGGACTATCAACACTAAGTTGAAAGGAAAAGGTTAGACACATTCAACAAGAAGGAAAGAAGTAGCAAGGCAACAATATTTCAAGGCGTCATTTAAGATATCCACAATTCTAGTCAGACCATTGAAAATCCTTCCTTTATCAATAAGAATACCATCACCTCTTTTTGAAAGACTTAAAAGATTAGACAAAGGCCGACTGAAACCTAACTTTACACCTCCAGATCTTACTGCTCACCTTCTACTAGCTGGTCCAAGGAGGAAATCTTCTTGGAGCCATCAATTGTGTAGATTGTTCTCACTCCCTGGGGCAGGTTCACATTGTCGGACAGAGTTCGGGTCAGGTCAGCCAGGAGAGCTTCAAAGGACCTGAAGCGGTCAGGGGAGATGGCGTATACAATCCCTTTGAAGTACCGGTCTCCGTTACGGTAGAAACGAACTTTCTTGGCTTTCTTCTCAGAGCTCAGGGTCTGTAGAGTGCGGGTTCGGTAAAAGCTGCAGTGGGCACTGTGGGTAGGGCTGGGCAAACCATTCACCCGGGACCCTCTGCCATATCGCTGAGCTTTATCACGCTCATCAAAATGCTCCAGCTCCATATCTCTCCCAAGGGACATCTTGGAAGTTCAACCTAAGGAATGCACAAGAGGAGAGAAAAAGCTTAAGAAACTTAGAAGTTTTAAGGGAGCTGAATTTAAGACTTCCTGTTCTATACAATGCTCTTACAAAGGACTACTTCCTAGGTTGAGAAAAAAAATTGAATAAAACCATGCTACAGTCACGTGGTCATTTCACACATAAGCCTCTTGCCATGCCTTAAGAATTACATTTAAGTTAGATGTCCTAATAACGTCACTCGTGAACCCAAATGCTAACGATAAGCAAACACTGAGAAGTGTTTGCTCAAATTCAGTATCTCGGAAAATGAGGTGACCAAGTTGACCTACTGGAAAAAAGGAATAAATGCATCAGCTTTCTACTTTTTCTCATGTTATCTTCAGGGGCTATTTGAGTCTCATCTACCTTCTCAACTGTTCGCCCCCACTAGACTCTTGGTTCCAACTGTGATCTCAAGAGGTGTTGTTTCAGAAGGGCTGCCAGTTGCCAACAACTAAGTAATTAAGAAATTTTCAGAGGAATAGATCTGGCAGGCTGGCAATGAGAATCAGGACTATCACACATAGTGGGTCAATCCCAATGTTAAAAACTACCTGCATATTCCAACCATTGGTTTCCTCATAGCCTAAGCTTTGTAATACATTATTTCAGTTGTCTTTGCACAAATGCTTTTACATACTCTGAACCAACAGAAGGGCTCAAATGGCACAAAATTAAAGAAAAAATATATTAGGAGACAGTGTTTTTCAACGAGCAAGCTACTTCAGGGCTCTGTGTCTTGCAAGATGTATTATTAATATCCTAAGCCTAATATTCAAATTGATTAAGGCCAACAGCTTCGTTTGCCATCACCAAAGGGGTGATAAAATCAGTGCCACTGAGCAAATAAGCAATCCATGTCTCCCATGTTTGACTGTGAGAAACACCCCTCAGCCCTGACCAAAACAATCCCAGTTGTTCAATACAGTTTACATAAACAGAAGTTGACATGTTCTGAAATAAAATCTAGGAGGCAAATACTTCTGTTACTTTTTGACAACCAACACAAGACTAAATAATACAAAGTGCACATTAATCTTTGCAAACAGAAGACACAAAAATACAAAAAAATAGAATAATCAAAAGATCATTACGTTCTAAACATATTCATTTTAATTTAGGAGCCACCTAGATTTGCAGTTGTCTGCAGAATGGTAAAGCACTGAAAATTTATTTATAGCACAGATACATAGACCTAATTTAGAAGTGGCCTCTCTCATTGATTTCCAATAAAAAGACAAAAAACCAGCAAGCACTAGTTTTGTTTCAACCACTCATAATGATGTGACCATTAAGAAAAAAAAGATGCATTCAAACCAGCTGTAGCACAGTGGGAGGAAATAGAGGAAAACTTACAGATGCTCTTTGACTTGCAGAAGTTTGTATTAAACCAATGATTATACAGCTGGACCCTGATGCTGCAAAGCTGTAGGTGATGTGCTCAGCAACTTCTCAGAGCAGTCCATGTGCTGGACCAGCACAGGAACCCAAGGCAAATGTGGGGCCCTAGTGGAAATTATTTACCCTACTTTGGTTACAGCTCCCAACTGACTTTGTTACACTGACACAGGATCATATGCTTATGTATAAATGCAGGATTTATATTTGTAAATCCTTCAGAAGTACCTACACATAGTACAGTGTATGTGTTTTCTTATATATGTAAAAAAAAAAAAGACTAATCTCTGCTTTTCCCATGCACACTACATCCCATTTCAGTGAAATGAACAAGAACATTTGCTGTGGCATTTCACTCTATAGGTTAAATGCAAAATACAGCTTTGTGGCCACATTTTAGGATTGAGAACACACCATCACTGCTTCCATGTTAAAAAAATTATGTCAGTTATTTCAATTCCCATCCATTTCCAGTGAGAACCTGTTATTCAGATTTAAACAATCCCAGAATGCACAATTCAGAAACTGTATCTCTGAAGCAATTCCCGTGCCAAGAAAAATGGATTTTTCTTAGGTCTGCTGTTATCTTTGCTTAAACCATCTCTAATACACCCCCTTCAAAAAAAAAAAAAAAAAGTTTAGACAAAGATATTCTCTTTCAGCTTTATTAATTTTGGATGAGGGGCAAGAAGAAGTGTGAGTCACTGTCCTTTCTTCCACACGTTTATGCTTTTATCAATACTATCTGTAATTCCCAAATACATCCTTAAAGCAGAAATAGACCTCCCCTTTAGCTCCACAGTCCTGGTATGTAGAGAAAAGCGTGTCTAAACCACAAGGTCAGAGCAGACAAAGAAATCCTAAACAATTTGATCTGATGTTTCCATTTATGTGTATAAATATATAGGCTTATACAGGCAGATACGCAAAAACGAGCAGACACGCCCCTGAAAAACCACCACGCCAACACTTCACACCCTAACATCCTAACATCTGTTAAAGAATTATTTATAATACAGGTGTGGATGAGCATTTCCATGAAAAAACCACGCATGCTGATAAAAAAAAACCAGCCACCACACTACGCCGCGATGTGACTGGGACCCAGCGCAGATCATAGGGCGACTAAGCAGCCGGATGATGACCAGTAGCCACCGGGGGAGGGCGGCGGGTCTGGCGGGGGAACACGGATGCATGCGGCAGCGGGCTCACGAAAAGATGGGGTTTATTCTGCGGGGGTAGGGGAACCGTGTGCGACACACGCCCATTCCTCCGGAGCTGGCACCGGGCACCTCAGCCCCCCGCGGGATGCCCGAGCCCCGGGGCACCCGGGGCAGCGCCGCGCCCGCTCCCCGGGGCCGGACCCGCTCCCGCAGCCCGGCACTCGCTCCCCGGGGCCGGACCCGCTCCCGCAGCCCGGCACTCGCTCCGCACCCGCGGAGCCGCCCGCAGAGCCCGGCAGAGGCCGCCGCCCCACACAATGGGCACAGGTGCATCGCTCCGCTCCGCGACCGCGCCCCGGCGGCCCCGCACGCCGCAGCCCCCGCGCAGGACAGGACAGGGCAGGACAGGGCAGGCATAGCCCCGGCCCCGGCCCCGGTGCTTACCTGTTCTCCTCAGCCTGGCGGGCACCTCCTCACTCAGACCTGCCGGCCGGGCGCGGAGGGAAGGCGGCGGCTCGGAATGGGAAGGGGCCAAAGAGCGGCGGCTCCCGCCCTCCCCCCGCGACCACCCGGCTGTAGGCGCAGTAGTTGCCGCAGAAAGCGGCTCTGCTGCCTTTGTTACGCCTCCCCTGGCTGTAGCGCGCTGCTGGGGAGCCCGGGCTGCAGCTGCTTCGCCTTTCTTCTGCTGCTGCCGGTTGCAGTGATTTGCATTAGCCCGGCCCTCATTGAAATGCGGCTCTTCACACCAGCCTCTCCCAGGCGCTCTCCAGAGGGCGGCGCCGCCGCCGCTGTCTCCCCCTCTCTCCCTCCCGTTGCGGGCCCGCTCTTCCATGGGCGCTGCGGGAATGCCGCCGCCGGAGCCGCTCCGGGCAGCGCGTCGGGTGCCGGCCGAGCCCTGCCGGGACCATCGGGCACCATCCCGGCGGGACCTCCCCGGGCCACATCCCGGCCCGCCCGGCGCCTCCCTCCGCCCCGGGCAGCCGCGACCCGGGAGACGTGCCCGATCCAGAGCTGCCTGTGCCCGGGGCAGAGCTGTGCCTGCCGAGGGGGGCATCTGGCCCGAGTCCGAAAAACGCCTTGGGAAGTAATTTTAGCAAATGGGTATGTTGGCATGTCCAGGAGGTTCGCCTGGGCGCGAAGTACTGAAATCCCACCGAGTTTCCAAAGCCCCATGACATGACTTGGGTGCTGAAGGTGGGATTGATGTGGAATTTAGGTATTAAAAGCAGGAGCTATGCTGATTCATACTACTCGCTTAGTTACAGCTGACCTTGGAGGTGACTAACTTCCATAGATGTTACAATTTTTAGGATGAAATTTCTCAGAACATGTATTTGGCTAAAGGTATCTCAGGCTTCATCTAACTGAGTCACCCAACCCCTGAGCCCATCAGGTCTTGGAGGATGTTTGCCAAGTCAACCTTCACACAAAACTTCAGCCATACTTGATGCTTTCTCCTCATAGGCTTGTTATTCTTCACTTTAGTGTAAAAATTTCAGTGATGAGATCCTTCTCGAGATGAAGGAGATGGTTTGCTTCCCTTTGTGCAGCAAAGACTTCAGTCCTCTTCTGCTTGTCAGGTAAACAGCCTGTGGTCCAGGGGGACATGGAAGAGAAGAAAACATAGTGTGTCCCTTCTGTTGGAGCTGCTCCACTCTGAAAGAATTAAAAATGCATTAGATCAGAGAGAGGGAATTAGTCTGTAACCTCCTGGTTATGGCACTCATTTGGGAAGGACAAAAGATGGCTTTGTGTGTCTGTATTACGGACAATTTATGTGTTTTATATCCATAAATCCAGAGACAATCAGTGGAGCAGGGACTTAAGCCCAGGGTGCCCTGCTCCCTTTGACAGACCTTTAATCAGAATAGAGGCTCCTGTTTAATCTCTCTGAAGGCAAACCAAGCCTTCCATCTACAAAAAAATGTAAGAGGCTCAAAAGAAGGGGATGAAGCACTCCCTTTCTTTTCTTTTCCCCCAGAGAAGTCCACATGTATGTTCTCAGGAGACAGGAGATTCCCTAAAGGAGAAAAATTAATTGTAGCCTTGTCTTCATCATCCTGGAGGAGTTTTTTAATCGCTAAAGAACAGAACAAACAGGAGTCTTCTGGCTACAGATTTTCCCCTAGATTTGAAAGATAAATGAGCACCTAAAACCTTCAGAAAAAACCTCTGCTCAAATGAGTAATAGTATTAAAATACCTGAACATCAAAAAGAGTCAGAATTCAATGTCCAATTGCGTCCTCAGCACACTCTTACCACCTAGCTTAGTTTTTGTGGATCTTGTTCTAAGGCACTTAACTCTTCCCCTATGGACAATGAGGTGCAGAGTCACTACTATAAAGACTTGTTTTTCAGGTGCCAGTTCCTAAAAAATGAGCACATCCACATTGAATATTTCACCAGCTTTTTAGTCTGTTGTGTTTGAAAATGTCCTGGTCTGTGCTTAGACAAAACAGATACCAGTGATATTGGCAACTTTGGTGTACGCGGGAGGAGAATGGAAACTAATATTAAAAGAATTCTGGTAGTCTTACAACAAAACTATATTCTTTAAACCACTTCTTTTGTAGGTCAACAATCAAATGAAATATTCATGACAATCTTAAATGATAAGAAAAAGCAGACAATCACACAGATTAGAGATGGAAAATACCACTGTGGTTCTGAAAAAGGAGTGTTCTTTAACATTCTTCAGTGCTATTTTGTTCAGTTCATTGTAAATGTCTCATTTAAATGTCTTGGGGCTTCTGCTCCCCAAAGGAAACATCCCTTTAAAGTTGAATTCCTCCAATGATAAAGAATTTTTTTTTTTTTCTGATGATCAGGTTAATGGAAGTTTCTTATGTTTCAACTCATTACTTCAGCTATAGTGCCCTGTATTCACGTACATAATTTATTTCTCCCATTGGTGTTTACATCTCTCTGGCATGTATTATTAACATCTTGCCTAAGTGTTCAAAATATTTCACAGATGTTCAAGAAAGACCTTCACTCTGACTATATCAAAAAAAGGTCAAAAGAAAAGAATACAGTATAAATTAAGGCAGGAGTATAAACCCAGTAGGAAAGTATCTTTTAAAATATGTTGTTTTGTTCATTTGAAGTTTTGTGTCTAACATAAAGACACAACACAATAGTCTAGTCTGTTTGTCAAGCATTTTTACCATGCTTTTTTTTTAAAGCACTTTAAAATATTCTTTACCTTTTTTCTTGTTTGTTCTCCATTTGAATTAAAACAATGCTATTCCAAATAGAAAAAAAAACTTGAATAAAACATTTCAACAGCTATAGAATAATCCTGTTAACAAAGTATACTGTTAATAGAAAATTGTCTTTCCTTGTTGGACAGACTTTGAAATATAGTGTATTTCTAAGACTCCTGTAAATGCATCTTTATAAACCACAGTACAGTCATTTCACTTTGGATAAAGTAACTTAGATTTCTCATCTCCATTGACCAAGTTTTTCAGATCTAAGAGTCTTCCAACAGGTTCAACTTTTCTGAACATTTGTAATTTTTGAGCACCTTTGTCAAAGTAGAATCAGATACAGTTATGTCACCACCCAACACTCCTGTATCTTGAAGGCTGTACTGAATGCTTTGGAACACTGTTCTGGGAGCTTCTCTTTAGTTGGCTAACCACTGTGACCCCTAATTCCTTTTCAGAGTCACTGCTTTCCAGGACACAGTCTCCAGTCTTCTAAACGTGACCTACATTCTTTGTTCATGCTGAATGACCTTGCATTCAGCTGTCTCAAAAAGCACGTTCAAATGATCCTGGCTCACTAAAGGATGTCAATTTCCCTACAGAAAAACTGTTTCTTCTTTGCATTATTTAGTGCTTTATGCATTTCATGTCATCTGAAAATTTTACCATTAATGTTGTTAAATATTTCTTCAGAGCCTCATAAATTTATGCAGCAGCAGAGGACAGCATTTTCTGAAACGCGGGGCTCAATCCCCCACGGCAGCGGTGTCAAGGGTGTGTTTACAGCCCACTCCACTTCTCATCAGAGAGGCACTCAGCTCTCAGGATGCCACACCAGGCCAAGGGAACTGGTGCTAAGGCTGCTGCATATGCCCAGCTCAGCAAACAGCCGGTGCCAGCTCCCAGCAGGGATCTGAGCAACTGGAGCGGCACCAGCCAGCTGGGCACTGCAGAGCCGTGCGCCGGCCCGGGCTGGGCTGGGAGCCTGGCACCAGCCTCACGTCGGGAAAAACCCACTTCTGAGAAACAGCAGAACCCTACAAATTCCTCAGGCATTACCCAAGGGATGGTGGTTAGCTGCCCATACTTGCATTTGTAGATCCGCCATTTAGCCGTTTCACAATTAATTATTGTGTGTTGCACTGATTTTGTACAATGCCAGTCACTTAATTAGGTTGATATACTGCAGGATGTCGGTCACTTTAGAGACACGTATGTCAGTGCAGTCATCTTCATCAATCATATCCAACAATTTCACCCAGAAAGCTTCCCAGTTTGACATGATCATAGTCACTAATCACACAATCATTTTTGGTATTGATTACATCAAATACCAGGACTCCATTTGTTTTACCTGCTAGTGATTCCAGTACATATAGAATTATAAAATCAAGGTCATATTTTTTGTGCTGTCCTTGGCTTTATCTATGTTCTACATCCTTAACATACTAGAATTTCTTGAATAGCAACATTAATTGTTCAGGCAGACCAGTAATAATTTCTTTTTAAATTACTCATGTACTTAAAATTATTTCCATATTATTTTAGGCAAAAACATATGGCATTCCTGACTGGAATGGGACCATATTATGAAGAAATATTAGTTGAATATTTCTGTCTGTTCTGCATTGTTATTGTAAAATTTCTCAGTGTTAATTTCTCATATGTTTGTCATTGATATTTCCTTTGAACAGACTTAAAATAATGGGCAAAAGAAAAGTTTTTGCTAGATTATTTGTCTTGTATTTCTCTTCATCAAGTCTGTGTTTAAAAAAAAACAATACTCTGACTGCACAACTGGATTTTTGAATCTGGTAAAATCATTCACTGTTCCAGACTTTTTTCCTTATTTGTTTTCTTATAAATGACTTCTCCAAGAAATTAATCGTTTTAAACTGCAGACCAGGAGTTAAGTCTCTTTACATAGAGCAGATATAATTACATGCTGGTCATTGGATAAAACATTCTTAAAGTTACTTCTACATCTTTTTTCCTCTGGAAAGAGGTCTCATTTTAAAGGGAACACATTCAGTATTGGAATGTTATCTTATTTCACTTTCTGATATTCCATGGATGCTTTAATTATGTCAAAGAAAGGCCTTCAGCTGAAGCATGGCTTGTTAGACTTATATCTTTTATTTTTCTTTCAGACATATTATTTCAGGTATGAGTAAGGACATGTTTAAAGAGCTTTTTTGCTGATTTGATTTGCCTGTATTGGTTACCATATTAAACCTAAAGCCCTGTCTTTTGGGTTTATAAATTATAAATGAACCATCCATGTGGCAGGTCAAATCCTGCCTGTGAAACAGCTCTATCCATCTCCAAATATTCTCCATCATCATGTATAGATGAT